CGTTGCGGGAGTTTGGCGTAGACGCAAGTGCTGCACCTTGAGAATAGCGTGGGCTGAGTATGGAGCAAGTCTCGGGTACAACTACCCTACCCTGCAATCTTGTTCCCGTGCGCTTTTGAGCGGAGAAGGTGGCAGGCTAGTGCAGCTGCGGCCCGCTCCTCTCGCACATGGTAAGGGCCGTCCGCGGAGGTGAGTGTACAGTTGGTCTTTAACCACAGCCAACGATGATGTGCGCTTCACTACAATTACGTAATTTTAGGTTCTGGACAGGGACGAGCAGATTAATGAGCTCAGTAATAAATTACGGGACGCTGAACTGAAATGCCAGCAGGTGTGGTTTTTTTAAGTCAAGTTCGTGTTGAGCGCTTTGAATATTTCCTATCAAATGTTTAGACGGAGGATCATCTATCGCGCACTTCCACTGATCTCGCGCTTGAGCGTGCACGCTGTGACGAACTCACCCTTACACTTCACGAAAGCGAAGGTTTATTATCTCAAGTAAGCGACATTGCCTATTTTGAAATTTTGCGATGATTTCAACAATATTTGTTAAGACAAGAGCAGATTGCCTTTCATATGCGTTGGAAAATCAACGGCTACTCGAAGAAGCCAGAGAAGCCAATCAACAAATTGTGTCATACCGAGCAAAGTTGTTAGTTTTGAAAGATTTTCTTTCCACTAGAGTCCTGCTCACTATGTGTGATGGGCGTGTCGTGGAGGCTAGGTTTTCCACGCTATTAGTCCGTTCTTTACCAGTTGTTGAAGAGGGTTAGCAGCAGCAACTGATGGAAAACGACTAGCACGAACTATGCGATGTAGAATTTCTGAAAGGAAAAAAGAAAACAAGCACTAGCGCCGCGCCAAATCTGACAACCCCATTATCCTCAGTGAAAAGACTGTATAGACTTCCTGCGGAACGGTTTGGGCTATTTTCGCTTCGAGTCATCGACTATCCTTCTATTAGGCTGTCCCAAAAGTTCGTGGACATTTTATGAATCTCGTATCAGATCTTTCAGCAGCCATTTCGAGATCTAGTTATGTGGTCTATGGGAAGTGTGGGTTAAGTGAGCATTCCCACCAGCTTGCTTCACCACCCTCGCCAGTCGCTGTTCTCATATGAAAAACGCGGTAATTGAAATTCATCATTTTCGACACACACTTTGCTATATGAATCTCTACCAAGCCACAACCTGGTTAGAGCCATAAGCGGCATTTCTCTTATTGAGATCTTGATGTTTACCGTGCCTGACGGCTTTGGAACGACCAATTGCTTCCGGCTTTAGTGACTTCTATGGGCCTGAAAAACTTGTCCGGACGGAGGCCAGCTGCCATGGCATTTTGAACCTACTGTTTTCCGCTTGATTAAAATCAAACTACGTACAAATCAACTTGCTGTCTAGTCCTCACACTTGACTGGTCTCAAAGCACAAATGAGAAAGGGCCTCGCTTCCTTAGAAAAGTTCTGAAGTTCGGTCCAAATTTTTCTAATGAATTGACCAGCACTTCAAGGGGAGACATGTGGCGCTACCTGTCACAACTTTTTCTCCCCGCTTCCGCTGTACCGGAACTGGTTGATACAGCACGTATCACTGGAATGTTGCGAGTTTGCCGCTCTAGCGTGAATCATCATCCGGGAGCGCAGCGGCTAAAATCCCCGCAGAAAGGGCAGAAGCGATCGCGCAATCCTTAACAAATCCCCGTAAATGCGGTGAGACTGTCTATGTGGTGGGGCGTTCTTCCCCCTCTCACGAATAATAGAATTTCCTTCTTCTCAGCGCGTCGTAACCTATTGTGAATCAACCTGAAAAATGGGGAGTTTGAAAATCGCTAATATTTGGTCACCGAAAACCGCTTCAGCAATGGTTTGCCTACTCACCACACGTCAGGCGGTCCACAATCGCTTGAAAAACGACCACTGCTCAGAGATCCGCAAAGCTTAGGCGTTTGGGATTTCACACAGTACCTCCGTGGTAGCCTGACTGACTTTTCCGATCCGCCATCTACAACTTATCCCAAGCCGCGGCCACCTTCTGGTACAAAATACGATTTTTGATAGTACTTCAAAACTGAGCAGCTGCCCTTCCTGGGCCAGAGAACCAAGAGGCTTCTGGAAGCAGGGCAACCACACATTGCGTAGTGATTGGCAGCAAACTGCCAATGAAAGTGACATATAAATAGTTGATCAAAATTGCTTCCCACTGGAATAAGCTTAACTCGAAAAAAATGTTCAAAAGTTCCACGAACTTGGGCAACGCTAATACTTGCGAAGAGAAGAGTGTGTGTTATAAGGGGGAGGAGTAAAGCTACCACCTTTCGAATGCAAACTAACTTGTGGGTCCTACTCCATCTTCAGAACACTCGAACCCTTGAGCCTTGATCTCACTTCACCTACTCGTGTGGAGCATCCTAGTTAGATTTTTTTTTCACATTAAATGCTAAATAGGACAGAGGTAGTGTAGTGGCAAGTGGCGCCGCTGATCACTCATCGCTGGTTCTCGGACTGTCAAATCTCGTAATCCATCTCGCAAGCTCTAACACCTTCCCACTGCCTCGGGGATATGTTGGTACGTCATGAGCGGCTGTATTATACTTCCCAACGAAGGAGAGGATGTGCCCTAGGGAAAGTTCTGCCTCCCCACTGTTTATCCCTATTCACCGACTTCTCTCTGGCTCTGTGGCTCTCTGCTTCTCTGCTCCGCCCACTCTCCAAGCCGGAATCTTCTCCTCCCCTCCCCCCCCGCAATATGTGCCATGGGAGATCGTGGGGTATCGATTGTACTCTGCGCTTCACTATATTCGTTCAGAGCATACGCTGGAGTATGAATGCATAGGTGCGAGGAAATCAGTAGAAATAACGGTAGAGTGTGGAGGTTTACTGGGGGAGGTGGGGGATATCTTCCCCTCGAGGGAAGGTATAGCATACGGCCTCTGGCAGGATAAAGACGGTGAACCCAGCATCTTTATCCTGCCAGAGGCTCCTGCAAATCATTGTCCCGGCGGGATCACATTTGAGTTGTCACTACGATTCAGAGTGGGTGTTGGATGCGTGGTCATCTCAAGAAAGGATGAAAGTGCTCTCAACTTTTTCTTTTCTCTTTTATATACTGTATGTGTGTTCCCTTACTTTGGAGAACCCTAGCGACGCATAATTGCTCACTTCATTATGTTTGCGCTAATTTTCAGGGAAGCACAAGGAGCAGATCTCATTGCAACGAAGAAAACACTGCGGTCTCTGCAAAGGGATAATAAGGATTCAACTGTGTCACAACACAATACGGGTGCAAATACGGTTGATGAGAAATAAATTATTTATTCGGTGTTATTCAATAATTACAATCCAATACATTTTCAACTGTTCTCATAAGACAAGCAACTTGCTAGGAAGTCATTTTAACGGTCAAGCATCCGCTTGAAATAACTATTTGTTAATAAATACATTTATATATTGAAATATGGATACAATTCATATCACGTATGAAGCAGCGAACGTAACAAGGGGCTTAGGTTTGAGCGCAGCAACGGCCGCGTGCTCATCCAGTTCTTGTAAATGTAAGACGGCAACTTTTGGTCGGAAACGCGACTGTTACTCGGTTCGAATCCACGCCCCATTGGCTTCGCCGTGATATCGACTGTATAATCTTTCACATAATGCTCTCTCTTATTATTCATGTACAGTCTGCACATTATTAAAGTCATTTACAGTTTAATTTTCCTAAATATATATAAATATATAATGGCGCCAGTCCAGTATAGGTACGCAATTGGGGCAATAGTGAGTCGGATTCCTTTTAAGATTTTTAAAATAACGGAAAATTACGGTTATCGTTCCGACGCTTTCTCTTGAAGTTGTTCTTTTAAGCGGCCGACACGTGGAGCTGAGAGTGCCACCCTTGTTTGCAGTTCGATTGAAGGGGTGTGTCAGATGAGTTGAGTTTGGCGTGGTGCCGAACTCCTTTTCTACTGCGTCTGGCGCCGCGTCAAACCCCATCCCGCCGGACACGCCCCCTCATCCACCGTGAATCCGACTCTTCTGGGCAAGTGAGTATTCTGGCTTATGTCTGAAGCTGCGGCAATCCACGGCGGGGAACCATTTTATCTACCCCTGGCTCCCCCCTCCCAGGACTGAGCGCAATTTCCGGTTTTTTTATGATAAAGGAAAGCGTTCGTACCGGATCGCCCTGGTTGCTCAGCGCCAAAACGAGTACCTATGTAGGACTGGCGCGCAAATAGTTCAGTTACAAGTTCTTCGAATTTTTCCGCATGAAAGTTCTTTGCATAAACTCGTGAACAACCGTAAAAAGCGATTTTCTTCCCATTCGACCTTTCCTTTCAATTTTCGTCA